TTGTGATTCCCCCCACAGCCCCCTATTCTGAGAATACCCTTCTCTTTCAGTAGTGCCTACAGAAACAAGTAGGCAAGGTTACCTTTTGTAGTCGCACGCCTTGTCACTGCTACATCTGAAGCCCAAGCTCGTGCACTATCTACCTTAACTGACCTTACTAGCAAACCCATTCCTGCTGAACCTCACCCATCTCTTAATACTTGAATTGGAACTGTTTCTATTCCCCCAAATGCTTGTCCCATGTATAACAAGGACTGGTCAGACTGTGAAAAGGACCTACTTTCCCACCTTGCTGAATATGATGCAGCGGCAGTACAATGTTACACTGTTCCTCTCAGAGGGCAACATAAATCCCATGTCAATATTGCCAAGATTAGCTTCCATAGACAAGACCTGCCCCATGAGGTTTATATGGGTGGATTGTCTTATCATGTCCAACAATATCGACTCCTTCCCAGCCAATGTCAGAAATGTTGGCATTTTGGCCACCCAGCCAAACATTGTCACTCCACAGCCCACTGCCCTCAATGTGCCCAACCTGGTCATGACCACTCAAATTGCCCTGCTCAGTCACGTACATGTGCCAATTATGGAGACTCCCATAATGTGTTTTATAGGAGCTGCACTGCCAATAACTTTGATTGTGAGGTAGCAGTCCTCAGATTTAAACTAGGCCTCACTCTACGTGAGACCAGACAGGAAGCACGACCCTATAACCTAACCTACATCCTATGTCTACTCACCCTATCCACCAATCAAATCCTTTTTCCATCCTAAATCCATATACTCCAATCTCTACCACTTCCCCGATACCTACCCCTCCTCCATACTATAGTTGTCGTACTAGGCAACCTAAATGTTCCACTCCATGCTCTCCTACTGCATTCTCTCTTACACCTTCCTCTTCATTTGTTCCTCGGATATCTATCTCCTCTTCTCCTCCTTATAAGAGAACCTTTGTTTCTCAGTCCTCTATACCTAATTCCCCTCCAGAAACCCTTAAAGACACCCAAAACTTCCTAAAGATGACCAAGGAACATCCGCTCCCTCATCCACCCCCAATCCCTCTGTTCCTACTCATGGTACATTTAAAGTATTTGTAGATATTCATCCTCCTCCTTTCCAAATTCCCTCCATCCCCCTTCCTCCTACACCCTCCAAACATACCCCACCCTCTCTATCACTTCCACTTGAATACTCACACGAATCCTCCCTATCACAACAGTGCCCTCCTCTCCAGACATATTACCTGATGCGTCACCACCTTTCCCAGTCTCCCTTTTTCAACCCCTGGATTCTTCTCCTCCTACTTCTCCAACAGCCAATTCTGTTTTCCTTGATCAATATCCTTACCCCCTACCCCAGTCACAGATACACTGCAGTTCACTCAATTGCTCTACCTCCTTATATTTCCCCAACCCCTTCCCAAAATACCTCATCCTCTCACCACCCAAACCAAAACCCCCTCCAAAACCCGATTCTTTTCCACATACCTCATCCTCTCAACCACCCAAACCACCCATACCACCCAAACCAAATCCCCCCGAAAACCCCATCCTTCCCCGCTATCCCTCCCACTCCCTCCTGGATACACACGTGAATCTCTTTTATCACAATACCCTTCCCCAAACCCCACCGTCCCTGTCGAACCCCCAGGCACTACTCATTTATCTCCTCCTGATCCTTTATCTTAATCCTCAGATACCTAATCCCTTACTACTAAGACATATCTTTGGCTATCACCTATTATCTCTATTCCTTCCCCGGTCACAGATTCACTTAATCGCTCTAACACCTTAACCTCCCTCCTTTCCCTTTTTGTTACCATACTTTACTATAACACCCTCTAATCTTTGACAAAAAAAAAGAAAAGAAAGAAAAACCCTGATCACCACAAAGGAGTCCTTAATAATGACACCTGACTTAACTATTCCTTGAAATAGCGTGAAAATGTGTTTTCCCTTCTAACACTATTGATACTGTTATTATTCTTAACAATATTATAATACAAGATAAACTTTCCAAAAATCAAGGAAAAAGTTAAACAGGTGAGATAAGTAGGACTAATAGCTGACTCCTTGGTGACTAAGTACTTGTAGAGCCATCTATGTGTAAAGACAATAAATTGAATTATAGAACTGTAGGCATGGCATGTATTCTTGCTAAATAGGGTGATGGAGTTATTGTTCAAATGAATTATGATAAAATGAACACCTATAATGCCATGAACTCATATAATGCCATTCCATTGGTCAAAAGAAGTAAAGTAGACTACATGTAATGCACGGTCAAATAATCAAATGATATAAACTCAGATAATGCCGACTCTACACGATTACAGGTGAAGTGTGATTACAGGTGAAGTGAAGACCAAATCCAACACAAGCTGAAATAGTCATTATGCCTCTGTATGATATCCTCCACAAAAGTAAAAAGTGCAGCATAAGATAAATACTGGCACTTGACACCATCTTTACTGTGTGAACTTGCTAAGGATTGCATTTACAACAGACAATACAGACATTATATTGCATATGATCAGAAGCCAAATGAGAAGAAAATGGAAAGGGATGCTAATTGTGACAGCCCCATTTACATTTATCATCCTTGACCATCCTTAAAATGAAGAAAATATACATGTTTATTACAGATATTATAGATATGATAGAAAAGTGCCAAACAACGAATATTGTGCCTATTGAAATTGCAATTTCAGTGCAATTATTCTATACTTGATAAGAAATGTATATATATGTCTGTGTGTATTTACAAAAATTATAGGTAAATGACTCAAATGATAATGAAGTTTTATGTTGGTATCAACAATAGGATTCTATCTGTGTCCTTCAATATGTAACTGACAATTATTTTAGAAAAAGAGTAGAGTAAATTGATTGATAAGTATACAAAAGTATGGAATTCCTATACAAAAAACTCTTTGTTTCTGCATTTTAATAAGGTTCTGTTATTTTTCAGCCTGAGAACTTGGGATCTCTTGCACAGCTGACCTACTGCTATCTCCATGGGAACTTGTTGAAGGCGTTACCGGACTCAATTGGTAAAGACTTTTTTCATAAGTGATTCAAATTGGAGAAAGTAATATATATTTTTGTTTTTTGATTAGTAATAGTAGATCATATTAGATTGGTTAGTATTGTTATTCTCTCTGTCTCTCTGTCTCTCTCTCTGTCTCTCTGTCTCTCTCTCTGTCTCTCTCTCTCTCTCTCTCTCTGCCTCTCTCTCTCTCTCTCTCTCTGTCTCTCTTCTGCTCTCTCTCTCTCTCTCTCTCTCTCTGTCTCTCTGTCTCTCTGTCTCTCTGTCTCTGTCTGTCTGTCTGTCTGTCTGTCAGTCTCTCTCTCTCTCTCTCTCTCTTTCCTTTTTTATTATTATTATTATTATTGTGTGTATGTGTTAGTGCGTGTGTGTGTGTGTGTATGTGTGTGTGTGTGTGTGTGTGTGTTGTGTGTTGTGTGTGTGTGTGTGTGTGGTGTGTGTGGTGTGTGTGTTGTGTGTGTGTGTCTGTGTCTGTGTGTGTGTGTGTGTGTGTTTGTATATGTGTTGTTTGTGTGTGAGCACACTTGTGTCTGCATGTGAGTTAGTGAGTGAGAGTGTGGTGTTATATTTGTATCTGTGTCTGTGTTTCTGTTTGAGTCTATGTGCAAGCATACATGCAAAAGGCAATAATTACCAACTAAAATCCAACTTCACAGGTGATGTTACCTGCTTACAAGTCTTGGATGTCGGCAATAATAAAATCACAAGCCTGCCCCATTCATTGGCCAAGCTTACATCGTTAAGGTCGCTGGTGGCAGTCTACAATAAAATTACGAGTTTCCCTAAAGGTGAGAAATCATTTAGCTTGCCTTTGTTTTTCGACAGGAAAAATTTGTGTAAACTATAGAGTTTTTATAAGCATGGTGAGTCACTTCAGAATATGGAAAGTGAGCATCCATGTGATATGTGACCATATCTCATGTTTATACTATATATGAGAAAAAAGTTATGGTAAATGTTTTTTTATTAAGTTTTGGTTTACAGTATAATGTGTTAAGTATATTGCTATGAACTCAAGGACTACAGATTTATTTACTGTCCCCTTTAGTTTTTTGTGAATTTTATTACATACAGATGATTACATGTGCTCAGCCACCAAGGAGTCTCTAGTGATCAGGCCTGATTGCTCCATTCCTTGAAATAGGTGGAAAATATTTTTCCTTCTAATTCTATTAATATTAAAACTTTTTTATTCTTATTGATATTATGATTATTGAATTGTTATTAAAATGTTAATAACATTAAAAACAGTAGAATAATGCAAATGAGGCTTTCCAGAATTCAAAGAAAAGGCTAAACAGGTGAGATAAGTAGGACTGATAACTGACTCCTTGGTGACTAAGTACTTGTAGAGCCATCTATGTGTAAAGACAATAAATGAACTTATATTACTGTGGGCATTGCTTGTATTCTTGACAAATGGGGTGATTGGGTAAACCTGACAACTGTGCTCTTAGGATTTCTTGACTGCTCCTGGGTGGACAATAAATGGCAAAAGATCAGCTCTCTTAAAAAACAGATTTTATTCTTATAAGATTCAAGAGAGACATGTAGAGCACTGAAAAGTGGGCAACAAAAATAATTGCAGAAGGTTACCTTAATGACAGGGAAGAGGTTGGAGGGAGTTGTAGCCAGTAGGCCAATGACAGGGGGAACTAAGACTGCGGTCAGGAGGGTGCTAGTGAGCAACAGGGGGAGCCAAGACTGTGGTTAGGAGGATGCCAGTGAGAGTCATGGTGTTGCTACGGGAAGTTCATTGGACTTTAGCCTGGCTTGGCAGGAATTTAGAAAATGAAGCTGAGAACTTGTCGTCTTAAGATGTCTGTAGTACATTGAGTTTGTGATATGATGTGATCCCCCCCCCCCTATTGTAGACCATACACTTGCACTTTTTTAGCTATATTGTTTAATGTTATGTTTAAAGTTCCTTTATGGAATCTGAGAATATGTTTGATTTTTTGTTGATTGTAAGGGGGAGAGTAATTCATACATTTTTGCTAAGATAAAAAAAAAAAATGAAAATACTATCGTAGAAACTACTAATCTTTGCTGCCAAACTGCTGTTTTCCAATTTTATAATTTCTTTTTAGTCTTTTGGGAACATGGTATCCAAAGAAGGCATTATTTTTCACAAGAAAGGCAAAAGATTGCCTTTACTAAAAAAAGACAAAAAGAAGTAAAAGATAAAGAGAGAGAGAAAAAAATCGAATTGTTTTCCCTTTGTTATTTTGCTGTTAACTTTTAGTCACCAACACTGTTATACATGAAAAGATAACTCAAATTATGTAGTATGTAATGTATCTTATTTCAAATGATATGATAAAAGGATCATTCTAGAAACTCACATTTGGTAAATGATTGTCAGTTCAGTTACAGTACTATGAAGAAGAAAAATTATTATGTAATAGAGATACATTTTGCTGCACCACTTGGTGCATAGGCATATGAATTGCCTTTTTTTTTCATCATGTTTCACTAAAATCCTTTCATATCTGGTTTACAAAATGAAAATGAGTAAAAATGACTTGTAGTGCTGTTTCTATTTTCCCGCAAAGGAAACTTATTTGTGGCTTGTCATTCATAGGGGTGTTTTTTGTGTATGCATGATTTTGAAACTGCTCTTAACTCAATTTCAGTCATGGGAATGCTTAATGTTATTTTTAGCATAATTAATATCATTTATAATGTTATACCTATTATTTTTACAGTTACCCTTATTATTGTTAGTAATTTTTGTTCATGATTATTTATATTGTCAATGATACTTACACTAGATCCTTAACCAGACCTGTGTCGACTTCGAAGCCTCTCGGTGCTAATGCTGAGCGGCAACAATATAACCCACCTTCCGGAGGCCATTGGAGGACTCACGGGACTTCAGGGCCTCTACATTGACCACAATCAGCTGAAGGAGTTGCCACGTTCATTGGCCACTCTGCCGATGCTCACCCGTATCTCGTGCTGTTGCAACTCTCTGACTCACCTTCCAGCTGTCACCTTTGTGAGCAGACCCACGTAAGGCTCGCAATATGAGTTTTGTCGATTATTGTTATGATTGTATGGCTGTAATTGCTAATAGTTTTTTTTTTTTTTTTTTTTTAATACTTTTTTGAATTAGCTTGTGTTGTTGTTGTTGTCGTTATTGTTGTAATTGCTAATAGTATTTTTAGTTTGTTTTTTTATTATTTGTAATACTTTATGAATTAGCTTGGTGTTTTTATTGTTGTTGATATTATTATTAGTTATTAGTTATTTTTATAATTATCATTGTTGTTATCATCTATATTATCATTTCTGTAATTAATGTTATTGTTATTATTAATGACATCATCCTAATTATCATCCTCAATTATCATCATCATCATCATCATCATCAATCATCATCATAATTGTCATCATTATTATTGANATATGTGTGTGTGTGTGTGTTGTGTTGTGTGTGTGTGTGTGTGTGTGTGTGTGTAATAGGATAGATAGATGATGATGAGATAGATAGCTAGATAGATATATGATATGCGTGTAATGATATATAAGATGTGAATATATATATTATGTATATATATATATATATAATAGCTATATATATATTATATATGTGTGTGTGTGGTGTGTGTGTGTGTGGTGTGTGTGTGTGTGTGATGGTGTGTGTGTGTGTGTTTGTGTGCTGTGTGTGTGTAGTGTGTGTGTGGTGTGTGTTGTGTGTGTGTGTGTATGGTGTGTGTGGTTGTGTGTGTGTTATAAGATATATATATATGTATATATATATAACAATATATACATATATAATATGTGTGTGTGGTGTGTGTGTGTGTGTGTGTGGTATATATATATATATATATATATATATATATATATATATATATATATATTATGTGTGTGTGTGTGTGTGTGTGTGTGTGTTGTGTGTTGTGTGTGTGTGTGTGTCTGTGGAGTGTGTATAATATATATATATATATATATATATATATATATATATATATATATATATCTTTTTTTTTATTTTTTTATTTTATTTTTTGTTTTTTGTTTTTTGTTTGCTAGATCCACCTTGCAGAGGAGGCGCCCATGGCCTCGCTTCCATCAGTGGCAGTTCTTCCTTCTTACCTTCATCAGGCACCGTTCTTCCTTCTCACCTTCATCAGTGGCACCGTTTCTTCCCTTCTTCACCTTCATCAGTCGCACCGGTTCTTTCCTTCTTCGCCTTCATCAGTGGCACCGGTTCTTTCTTTCTGCGACATCCTCAGTCGCACCGGTTCTTTCCTTCTAAGACTCCAGCTGGCGGGCTCGCTTCCTCTCTTCCGCCTCAGCGAGTTTTACCCTTTTTCTTTCCTCAGCCTGAGCCTTTATCTCGGCCTTGGTCGGCTGGAACAACGGCGTCCCATGGCGGTGTTTGCTCCTGCCCGCCTGGTGTTTCTGCTTCCCGTTGGCAACTGCCGGAGCACGTAG